AAACCAATGCCTACCTGCCTAGAGATAAAAAAATGTTGGAGGTACATTTTTAAAAATAAATCTTTTTAATTCAAGGCCGATAAAGATTAATTTCACTGTTTAGAGTTCTACACAACACGTGTAGTCACTATTTATACTGTTTATATATATATATATATATATATATATATATATATATATATATATATATATATATATATATATATATGTATATATATATATATATATATATATATATATATATATATATATATAATATATATAATATATTTATATATATATTTTATATATATATATATAATATATATATATATATATATATAATAGGGTGTCCATAGTGTTCGTGTGTACTTTAAAAAATGTATAACTTTATTTGTATTTACGATAGAAATAATTTGTAAAAAGGATTAGAAAGAAGTATATCTATATTTTTTTAAGGTTTTATTGAAACTTTAAGTTTCCACATGTCCTCTATCATTAGCAATACAAAAGGTAATACGATTTTGGAGTTTACGGAAAACATTTGCCAACTGATTTACAGTAATGCCTGAAATCACATTAGTTATTTTAGCTATACTTAAAACTAGGTACATTAAACTTTATAACATTTTTTACAGATTATTTCTATTGCAAATACAAATAAAGTTATAAATTTTATCGACACCCTGTAAATTTATATGTAATATATATATGTAATAATATATATATATATATGTAATAATATATATATGTATATGTATATATATATATATATATATATATATATATATATATATATATATATATATATATATATATATATATATATATATATATATATATATATATATATATATATATATATATATATATATATATATATACATATATATATATATATATATATATATATATATATATATATATATATATATATATCGGTATTTTAATATATATATATATATATATATATATATATATATATATACATATACCTAATGGCTCGGAATTTGAAATCAGAGTGCCGAGTTCCAATTCGGGTTCGTTATATTCACTTACGCGTAAATTGGGAAAGGTATGATCCACCTCTTCTCCCCAACAGCTATGGGTTAATTAGTATGACATGTATCAATAAGTGTTTATTATCACCCCACCCCACAAAATTGTTAAAATATAGATAAATAAACCTTTTCTTATGTTCATACAAAAACCTCATTCAGTAATCCTCTGCCAAAAATTGTTCAAATATAAATATATTTGCTGGCTTTAAATAACCTGCAAAAAGATCGATAAGCAGTAAAAAATCTTTTTTTCTTTCGTTCATACAAAACCTCGTTCAGTAACACTCTAGTCCCTCCCCCAAAAATGTTACAATATAAAAATATTTGCTGGCTTTAAATAACCTAAAAGTTGATAAGCAGTAAAAAGTCATTTCTTACGTTCATACAAAACCTCATTCATTAACACTCTACCTTGAGTAACTCTTGGACCTTGTATTGTGTGAACAATTAGTAAAAAAAAAGAAAATCATCATATTAAATCACATTCGTGTCCAAAGTTTGGCCAATCGATGGAACTGTCAAAGGAATTAATGAGGAACTCAAGAGGTGCAGTAAGATTTTTCTGATTGATCGCTCTACTGAAATTCTTCAGACTTTTGCGCAGCATCTTTCCGTAAAACGAAAACTGTCAAAAGCTATTAGAAGTTATTTGGAACCCTCGAAAATCGCAGTCTTCCATCTGTCAAAGACAGGATTATTATTTGGTTTGCGCCAATTTCGACCCCTTCTACTCTTTTCTCGAAATGCTAAACCTTTCAAGGACACTAATTACACCGAAATATTTTTACAGATAATTTTCTTATTCTAAACTGATGACTTGGTGTATTAAGAACACAAGAAATAAGTAATTTAAGAAAAAAAATTGGTTTATATTTTTAAAAAAAAAACTCTATTTTATTTGTAATTTTCTTTCTGTTATTATTAAATGTATTCACGTGTATAGCTTACTAGCCGGTCGCTCGTAAGATTTCGAGTGCAGTCGTTTCCCGCAAGTGCATTCGCTGCGCTGATGCATCAATGAGTGCGGGCAGGATCGCTATCGCTTTGCAAAGATATAACGTCCCGGGTATGACGATAAACTACGTACGCGTCCCGGGTATGACGATAAACTACGTCTGCGTCCCGGGTATGACGATAAACTACGTACGCGTCCTGGGTATGACGATAAACTACATCCGCGTCCCGGGTATGACGATAAACCACGTCCGCGTCCTGGGTATGACGATAAACTACGTATGCGTCCTGGGTATGACGATAAACTACGTCCGCATCTCGGGTATGACGATAAACTACGTACGCGTCCTGGGTATGACGATAAACTACGTCTGCGTCCTGGGTATAATGATAAACAACGTACGCGTCCTGGGTATGACGATAAACTACATCCGCGTCCTGGGTATAACGATAAACTACATCCGTGTCCTGGGTATGACGATAAACGCGTCCTGGGTATGACGTACATCCGCGTAAACCACGTCCGCGTCCTGGTATGACGATAAACTACATCCTGTATGACGATAAACTACGCATCTCGGTATGACGATAAACTACGTACGCGTCCTGGGTATGACGATAAACTACGTCTGCGTCCTGGGTATAATGATAAACAACGTACGCGTCCTGGGTATTACGATAAACTACATCCGCGTCCTGGGTATAACGATAAACTACGTCCGCGTCCTGGGTATGACGATAAACTACGTCCAACAGGAAGGCTTCTGATAATGTTTTTGAAAAAAAATGTTGCCAGCTATATATTTTTTAAAAAAATAATGTTGCCAGCTATATATTTTTTAAAAAAATAATGTTGCCAGCTATAGGTTTTTGTAAAAAATAATATTACCAGCTATACGTTTTTGAAAAAATAATATTACCAGCTATACATTTTTCACGAAAAAATATTAACAGAAATGGATTTTTGACAAAGCAAAAATGTTACCAGGAAAAACAAAAGTTCTTCGTATTAAATGACCCATTGAGATTGAAATGGAATTATGTAAATTAAAAGTTTAAATTTAAAATGTTTTATTTCTAGCCTTCATATGTAATCTCACTTTACATCGATTCTTTCTGTTCACATCACCAAAACTTTAATTCAGTGTCTCCTCTCTTGTTTGTTGCGTCAACAATAAAAAAAAATGTATCTATCGTGTATTTCTTTGTTTCTTCCACGTTTTGATAAAATATTTGCTTCCAATTTGGAATAAAAGGGTTTTGACGTCTGAAAAATATGAAGCTGAACTGAAGGAAATATGATATAAAAATGCCCCAACTACTCTTTTTCTTAAATTTAAAAATGCCTCCAAATACTGTTTTAATTAAATTTAAAAATGCCTCTAACTACTTCTTTTCTTAAATTTAAAAATACCTCCAAATACTTATTTTCTTAAATTTAAAAATGCCTCCAAATACTCCTTTACTTAAATTTAAAAATGCCTCTAACTACTTCTTTTCTTAAATTTAAAAATACCTCCAAATACTTATTTTCTTTAATGTAAAAATACCTCCAAATTCTTATTTTCTTAAATACCTCCAACTACTTCTTTACTTAAATTTAAAAATACCTCCAAATACTTATTTTCTTAAATCTAAAAATGACACCAAATACTCTTTTACTTAAATTTAAAAATGCCTTTAACTACTTCTTTTCTTAAATTTAAAAATACCTCAAAATACTTATTTTCTTAAATTTAAAAATACCTCCAAATACTTATTTTCTTAAATTTAAAAATACCTCCAAATACTCTTTTACTTAAATTTAAAAATGCCTCCAACTACTTTTTTCTTAATTTTAAAAATACCTCCAAATACCTATTTTCTTAAATTTAAAAATAACTACAACTACTTCTTTTCTTAAATTTAAAAATGCCTCCAAATACTCTTTTACTTAAATTTAAAAATGCCTTTAACTACTTCTTTTCTTAAATTTAAAAATACCACCAAATACTTATTTTCTTAAATTTAAAAATACCTCCAAATACTTATTTTTAATTTAAAAATACCTCCAAATACTCTTTTACTTAATTTAAAAATGCTTCCAACTACTCCTTTTCTTAAATTTTTAAATACCTCCAACTCCTCTTTTTCTTAAATATTAAAATACAACTACTCCATTTCTTAAATATAAAAATACCCCCAACAAATTTTTTTGTGTTTTTTTTATATTAAAATGCAACTACTCCTTTCCTTAAAATGCCTCCAACTACACTTTTTGTTAAATATAAAAATGGCTCCAAGTACTCTTTTTCTTAAATTGGACGAAGTACTAATTTGACTACAAAACGAGAGAGATAGAGAGAGAATTTGACTATAACGACGAAGCCTAATTGTCCTCTGCCGAAAAATTCCTATGCCGAATCGGCCACGCCGAATCAACGACGCCAAATGAGCTGGGCCGGAAGTCCCTATACTCATATTTGTAAAGCGTGTGGGGGTGAAGGGGAGAAACATAGAGAGAGAGAAAGAACAGACGAATGAAGTTATATGTACATAAGCGCGTGTTATTTAAATTTGATGCGTCCAATTTTGATGTCTATTTAATTTTAATAAATCTAGTTCCATTAATTTCGGGACTGCTCTTTCATTTACATTCAAACGACTTCTGTGTTTTTGTTGACTAATTTAGCAATGTTGCTACTTCATTTCATTCGCACAGCGTAATGAGACGCCATTAAAAAGTCTGTTTGACAAGAGAGCAGTGATTGCTTTTTGCACGACAATTTGAAAAAAAATAAAGAAAAGAAAAGAAACTTGTTAGAGACGAAAATAATTTCGAAGTTAGATTTAATTGTAATATAAATACTATTAAAAACCCCAACATTTCATCTTTTGGTAGACTTCTCCATCAGAAGACATTGCATTTTCGTTCAAATTTTGTTTGTCTGTCTGCTTGTCTACTCGCTGTCTATATGTTTATCGCTACTTGTTTTTATCTCTGTAATGCACGTTTTCCTTTTCACTATGTCTCGTCTGTGTATCTCTCTATGTCTTCGTTATCTATCTATCTATCTATCTACTCATATCTATCTCAGTTCTTATCTATCTATCTATCTATCTATCTATCTATCTATCTATCTATCTATCTATCTCAGTTTATTCATATTTATCTCTATTTATTATCTACCTATATATCGCAGTTTATTCATAATTATTTATCTCTGTTCATATCTATCTATCTATCTATCTATCTATCTATCTATCTATCTATCTATCTATCTATCTGAGTTCATCTATTAATATATCTATCAAGGGTATTCATATCTATCTATCTATCTATCTATCTATCTATCTATCTATCTATCTCAGTTCTTCTATCTATCTATCTATCTAGCTAGCTAGCTAGCTAGCTAGCTAGCTAGCGATCTGTCTATCACAGCCTACCATATCAATCTCTCAGTGTCTATCAATATATCTGTTTCTAGCAGTGTATTCATATCTATCTATCTATCTATCTATCTATCTATCAGTTTCTTTATGTCTATCAATATATCTGTTTCTAGCAATGTATTCATATCTATCTATCTATCTATCTATCTATCTATCTATCTGCGTATGTTTTTTTCATAACTATATATTCGTGTCTGTGAATTTTATCTCTCAATCTATTTATCTATCTGACTCTATTCCATATCTATGTATTTCAGATTCTTTATATCTATCTTCGTCCATTCATCGAGTCTGAAAGAAACCTCAACAGAATTGAAACAGTTGACAGTTAGAGAAAACTTAGTAAGAGTTCCACCACGGAATATGTGAACGAGCGGCGCTATATTGAGTCTGATTTGGAATCTCTTCGTCACCGAGACCCATTTGGAACAGTTGGTATGATGTTTGCTTGACAAACTAACTGTCAGGCTTTCAATTCTCGGTAGTGGATGCGCACTGCTGACGAGTCCCAAATATAGTGCCGTCCAGTGCTTCTGCATTCTGTTGAGGTTTTTTTCCGACTCGATGAATTACTTAATTATAATTATTTCAACACCTCCTAATAATTACTATTATATATGATTATATATCTTTATCTGATTATATATATATAATCAGATAAAAGTCTCTCTCTCTCTCTCTCTCTCTCTCTATATATATATATATATATATATATATATATATAAAGTACCTCTCTCTCTCTATATATATATATATATAAATATGATCAGATAAAGTAGTCAAACATCAGACGTGATGCGGCTAAGCAAACTAATGAATGTGATAAAAGTTCTTCCAGTGTATGGCGCGGGTGAAAAAATAACGGACATCATGGTTGCCATAACAACCAGAAATTAAAATCTTACCAATCGATGCCTCCATCGGTTCAACAGGTTGACGGCGGCATTTTGTCGTCACGAAGTCAATCACCAGACATTATTTCTAGTAGCGGGCTTCAGCTGTTGTCATTTGTAGCTTCGAGCAATTATCAATTTTAAACTTTTTTTTCCTTTTTTTTTTTTTTTTTGTTTGTTTGTTTGTTCGGTTTTTTGTAACAGCGAATAAAAAGAAACCCCAAAAATACAAGAATAAAAAGTAAAGATTAACTAATCTAAATTTTACATTTAAAAAATGTCCTTCTAAGTAATTCACACAAGGCTATTCAGAAAGGCTACTAAACTTCTCCATCGAAGAAGCTGTCAGCAAAACTAACCTCTACATAATGGTGGCGAAACAGAATTTATCAGCCACAACCAAGAAGGAGAAATTAATTTGAAAAACCACAAAAGCATCAAATCCGTCCAGGAATTACTTTACCTCGACAGCAACATTCGGTCAACGAAGAGAGGCATCAAGATCCGCAAAGGCAAGGCCTGGGGTGTCCTTAATGGTCTAAGAACCATCTGAAAGTCCTTCCTCTCTGTCAAGCTTAAGAGGGACTTCTTTAAGGTCACGATAGAATCTGTCTTTCTTTACGACTCAACAACACGGACACTGACGAAACACCAAAAAGCATCACTTGACGGAATATACACAAGGATGTTACGAGTTGCATTGGACATTATCTGAAAGAAACACCCAACAAAGAAACGCTTGTATGGACACCTTTCCTCCAATCTTAGTTTCGCTGAGAGACAGAAGTCTTCGGCTGGCTGATCACTCTTGGAAAAGAAAGTGAGAACTTGCGAGTGACACCTTCCCATGGAACCCGGTAAAAAATCTGTTGGAAGACACTATCTCACCTACATTGACCAACTTGTAGATGCCATTTGGAGGACCTGCCGACAGCGATGTCTGACAGAGATTGTTTGAAGGAACGAGTCAGGAGAACCCGTGAAGAATTCTCAACCTGAAGAAGTCGAAGAATAAGTATCTGACAAACTTAACATGTGAGTGACACCTTCCTATGGAACCCATTGCGCGGCAAAATATCTGTTGAAGACATTATCGCACCTACATTGACCAACTTGTAGATGACTCTGGATGCCATTTGGAGGACCTGCCGACAGCGATGTCTGACAGAGATTGTTTGAAGGAACGAGTCAGGAGAACCCGTGAAGAATTCTCAAACTGAAGAAGTCGAAGAATAAGTATCTGACAATCTTAACATGTGAGTGACACCTTCCTATGGAACCCATTGCGCGGCAAAAGATCTGTTGGAAGACATTATCGCACCTACATTGACCAACTTGTAGATGACTCTGGATGCCATTTGGAGGACCTGCCGACAGCGATGTCTGACAGAGATTGTTTGAAGGAACGAGTCAGGAGAACCCGTGAAGAATTCTCTACCTGAAGAAGTCGAAGTATAAGTATCTGACAATCTTAACATGTGTGTGACACCTTCCTATGGAACCCATTGCGCGGCAAAAGATCTGTTGGAAGACATTATCGCACCTACATTGACCAACTTGTAGATGACTCTGGATGCCATTTGGAGGACCTGCCGACAGCGATGTCTGACAGAGATTGTTTGAAGGAACGAGTCAGGAGAACCTGTGAAGAATTCTCAACCTGAAGAAGTGGAAGAATAAGTATCTGACAAACTTAACATGTGAGTGACACCTTCCTATGGAACCCATTGCGCGGCAAAAGATCTGTTGGAAGACATTATCGCACCTACATTGACCAACTTGTAGATGACTCTGGATGCCATTTGGAGGACCTGCCGACAGCGATGTCTGACAGAGATTGTTTGAAGGAACGAGTCAGGAGAACCCGTGAAGAATTCTCAACATGAAGAAGTCGAAGAATAAGTATCTGACAATCTTAACATGTTAGTGACACCTTCCTATGGAACCCATTGCGCGGCAAAAGATCTGTTGGAAGACATTATCCCACCTACATTGACCAACTTGTAGATGACTCTGGATGCCATTTGGAGGACCTGCCGACAGCGATGTCTGACAGAGATTGTTTGAAGGAACGATTCAGGAGAACCCGTGAAGAATTCTCAACCTGAAGAAGTCGAAGAATAAGTATCTGACAATCTTAACATGTGTGTGACACCTTCCTATGGAACCCATTGCGCTGCAAAAGATCTGTTGGAAGACATTATCCCACCTACATTGACCAACTTGTAGATGACTCTGAATGCCATTTGGAGGACCTGCCGACAGCGATGTCTGACAGAGATTGTTTGAAGGAACGATTCAGGAGAACCCTTGAAGAATTCTCAACCTGAAGAAGTCGAAGAATAAGTATCTGACAATCTTAACATGTGTGTGACACCTTCCTATGGAACCCATTGCGCGGCAAAAGATCTGTTGGAAGACATTATCCACCCTACATTGACCAACTTGTAGATGACTCTGGATGCCATTTGGAGGACCTGCCGACAGCGATGTCTGACAGAGATTGTTTGAAGGAACGAGTCAGGAGAACCCGTGAAGAATTCTCAACCTGAAGAAGTCGAAGAATAAGTATCTGACAATCTTAACATGTTAGTGACACCTTCCTATGGAACCCATTGCGCGGCAAAAGATCTGTTGGAAGACATTATCGCACCTACATTGACCAACTTGTAGATGACTCTGGATGCCATTTGGAGGACCTGCCGACAGCGATGTCTGACAGAGATTGTTTGAAGGAACGAGTCAGGAGAACCCGTGAAGAATTCTCAACCTGAAGAAGTCGAAGAATAAGTATCTGACAATCTTAACATGTGTGTGACACCTTCCTATGGAACCCATTGCGCGGCAAAAGATCTGTTGGAAGACATTATCCCACCCACATTGACCAACTTGTAGATGACTCTGGATGCCATTTGGAGGACCTGCCGACAGCGATGTCTGACAGAGATTGTTTGAAGGAACGAGTCAGGAGAACCCGTGAAGAATTCTCAACCTGAAGAAGTCGAAGAATAAGTATCTGACAATCTTAACATGTGAGTGACACCTTCCTATGGAACCCATTGCGCGGTAAAAATCCGTTGGAAGACATTATCGCACCTACATTGACCAACTTGTAGATGACTCTGGATGCCATTTGAGGACCTGCCGACAGCGATGTCGGACAGAGATTGTTTGAAGGAACGAGTCAGGAGAATCCGTGAAGAATTCTCAACCTGAAGAAGTCGAAGAATAAGTATCTGACAATCTTAACATGTGAGTGACACCCTCCTTTGGAAGCCATTCCTCGGCAAAAGATCTGTTGGAAGACCTTATCCCACCTACATTGACCAACTTGTAGATGACTCTGGATGCCATTTGGAGGACCTGCCGACAGCGATGTCTGACAGAGATTGTTTGAAGGAACGAGTCAGGAGAACCCGTGAAGAATTCTCAACCTGAAGAAGTCGAAGAATAATTATCTGACAATCTTAACATGTGTGTGACACCTTCCTATGGAACCCATTGCGCGGCAAAAGATCTGTTGGAAGACATTATCCCACCTACATTGACCAACTTGTAGATGACTCTGGATGCCATTTGGAGGACCTGCCGACAGCGATGTCTGACAGAGATTGTTTGAAGGAACGAGTCAGGAGAACCATTGAAGAATTCTCAACCTGAAGAAGTCGAAGAATAAGTATCTGACAATCTTAACATGTGTGTGACACCTTCCTATGGAACCCATTGCGCGGCAAAAGATCTGTTGGAAGACATTATCCCACCTACATTGACCAACTTGTAGATGACTCTGGATGCCATTTGGAGGACCTGCCGACAGCGATGTCTGACAGAGATTGTTTGAAGGAACGAGTCAGGAGAACCCGTGAAGAATTCTCAACCTGAAGAAGTCGAAGAATAAGTATCTGACAATCTTAACATGTGAGTGACACCTTCCTATGGAACCCATTGCGCGGTAAAAATCCGTTGGAAGACATTATCGCACCTACATTGACCAACTTGTAGATGACTCTGGATGCCATTTGGAGGACCTGCCGACAGCGATGTCTGACAGAGATTGTTTGAAGGAACGAGTCAGGAGAATCCGTGAAGAATTCTCAACCTGAAGAAGTCGAAGAATAAGTATCTGACAATCTTAACATGTTAGTGACACCTTCCTATGGAACCCATTGCGCGGCAAAAGATCTGTTGGAAGACATTATCGCACCTACATTGACCAACTTGTAGATGACTCTGGATGCCATTTGGAGGACCTGCCGACAGCGATGTCTGA